ATGGGTAAGCAGAAGAATGTGATTAGAGCATGAAAGTTTAAGACAGTAAAAACTGTCGTTTTCCTCTTGTGTGGAGCTGAATAAAATTCAAAAACCACATGCTGTAGAACTAGCTCCATGTTCCACAAGACTGTCATTTTATTTTGCCCTCTGCCTTAGCATCTGAGAAACTGCAGCCTACTTTCTGTATAATTAACTATCTTTTCTGTCAAGTCTCAAAGAAAACATCTCAGTAAGAGGACTCATACTGCTGGCAAAATGCTATATTTGGAATACATAGGGTGCATTTTTATGGCAAAGAGAGTTGTAATAAAAGTTGGATGTATCGCTCAATAAGTGCCCGTTTGGGGAATTTGCTGTAGCTTGTTGGTAAGAATATAAGCAAAATGCTATGGCCTCATTTGGAAGAGCACAGTGTTACCAGTCGCGCTGCCTTTACCAGATTATTTGTGTTGCAAGCTGATACACATTTGAAAGCTTTTCTAGAGCAGAGACAGTGTTGGATAATGTATGGCTTAATCCTGAAAGCTAAGTTTCATATTTTTACCTCTAGGAAGTCATATCAACTTGGAATTGACACCAAAGTCAAAACTCTGGCCAAAAGACAATCAAATAGAGTAAAAGAATAAGTGTTTTCATAGTAGATTAAAATTTAGTATGTCCAGTAAAGGACATCTCATTACTGTCTTGTAACCACCCGCGGATGGTGTAAGGCAAGGTATGTCTATCTACTTCCTCCACTACTGCTGCTGCAGCCATGCGACACTGTCCTCCTACATGCCAAGCTATGGTTTCTGCTTCTGGACGGGCTTTCAAAACCCTGGATACAAGATGCTGTTGTGAATCCATCTAGCTGGGATTCGTAAGTGGAAGAAAGACCAATATGTAACAGTCCTAGCATCCTATCCCAGAAAAAGATAAGGTCAGTCTCTCTTCTTTATAACCTGAGTTGTCTGTTAATATCTCTTTCCTGAAACTTAGTTGCATTGAATGTAGACAGATGGAAACTAAAGTATCTGCTCTACATTATGTATCAGCCTCTGATGCGGAGAATATCATCTCTTAATAAGCAATATTTAAAAATAATCTGATACTGATTCACTGAGAAAGCTCAAAGGGCCAGAAAGCAGATCCGCAGTGCATGGAAGTTATTGTAAGTCTGTTGAACTACAGCAATTTATTCTGGCAGAGGGCCTATGCTGCGGCTTGAAAAAAGCATACATCAGGTTCTGCCTTGTTAGTGGAGTGTGCAGAAACAGCTTAAAATCTAAAAGTGTCTTTTAGGAGTTCTGCTAGTGGTATTATGACCTTCTTTTGCATAAAACAACTAACACCTTTGCAGGGATGCAGATTTACTTTGAACTTTCCTCACATTACTTCTCCTTCAGTATTATTTGCAAAACAAACAACATCTTAAAGGTAACGACCATTGCATAACTGTTTGCAGAACTTCATTACCGAAGAGGTGCTGTGCTTGCTGGGCAAATGATGTGTAGCACATGCTGGAGTCTGCAATGGCAATTCTTGATGGACTGATCTTGAGCTGTCCAGTTTTGTGGCTTTCCTTCAAGGTTGTGGTACTCTCCAAACTGAACACTGAAATTATAAGGGCATTCGTTAGGTCACGGATGACAATTTCAGCACAGAAACAGAATAGCATCAGTAAACAATACATATGATGGAAAAACAATAAAGGTTGTTCTAAACCTAATTATTTTCTGTTATGGCTGTACCAACAGCAACCTGTACTTTTGGCTACTGTCTGTCTCAGGCCTCACATCAGAGAGGGAAAAAAAAATTGTATGGGCTTTCTTGAGATCTTACTCATTGTAGAAACATGCTAAGGTGAGAAATACTCACTGTACTGAATTTTAGTCAGGGGCAAATTTGGTGGAGCAAAGAATACTTATTACAGCACTGGGAGTTACACAGATTTCTCCTATGGCTCATTTTTCCCTTACAAACACTTGTTCTTATTTCGTATTCCTTATACTTATTCATGTTTCTTCTTTGAAAATAATTTGCATAATCAATGAGGGTTTGGAATGCAACCCACCCCCAATTACATAATCAATGAGTTCTTGGAATACAAACCCACACCCACCCCCCAATTACATAGTCCATGAGTTCTTGGAATGCAACCCATCTCTTCTAGCGGCGCAGGCACTATACTTCCTTAGGGGTCTTCCTGGTGGTCATCGGAGGGAGGCTCGAAGTCTTTATCACCATGTCCTTCTTGTGGCTTCTTTATTCTTTACACTTCTGTGGTTATCTTAGCGAACAACAGCACCCTTTGTTTTGCAATGGTCCGGTACTTTCAACTGTTGCTTTTGTCTGATATCCTATCTAACGCTATCCCTTTTTCAAACACATAGGAAGCACGCACCCATCTTAGCTGAAGCCATAGCAAGCACACATCTATTTTAGCTGAAGCAAAATTCTTTTGCTAAATTACTTATTACACCAATATCACATTTGGTCTGTTCTGTTATGATCTGGCAGTTTTCTGTTAGGTTACGGGGACTGGCATTTGCCTCCGTTTACCTAGCTGAACCCAGTGCTTTCCACGGAATTGGCTGTCAGACTTGCACAGCCCACTTTCCAAAAGGCAGTTTTCTGGTATCATTACTGTGTGGTAGGGAGGCTTAAAAAATAAGAGGAAGATAAATGTAGGGAAAATTCCAGATTTTTATTTACATACTTGTAACTCTGTAAAGTTGCAAGTCAGTTGTGATACTGTCAACACGGAGGGAAGAAATCCCCAATCCCTGTAGCATCTATGGATGATCTTATACCTGAGATTACTTCTCTGTTATTGTACACAGCCATTCAAAATCCATGTTAGCTGAGAGGAAGGACAGTAACCGAGAACCACCTGGCGCTGCCACGTTAGAAGCGATCTGCTGGAGGAGCGTTTGTTCGTCTCCCGCACAGGCTCAGTAACATTTGCCTAGAGATTTCACTTTTTTTTTCGGTGCAGGAACCACCAGACGTGCTCCAGGACAGGCACCTGCCATTGCAGTGCGCCCAGACCAGTGTGTGGAGAACCCGCAAGGCCTTTGCTCTCAGGGTACGTCCATGGCATACCCTTGCCTGTCGTCTTGAGGAACGCAGCTAAGCGGGCTCCCGGATATCTGTAAGGTGAGGCTTTTTGCCCCCACATATTTCAGCCTTTTTTTTTTTTTTTTCCAGAGGCTGCGGCCTGGCTGGCAGGTTGGTGTACCATGACGGGTGGAAATGGCATCCAGCCAACACCTCTTTGCGTTCACCTGTCGCAGTAATGTATGTTTTATTTGACTTCCCCCTCTCAGATCCAGAAAGTTAAATAAAGAAGGGCTTTATTTTGCCTTTTTTTTTTTTTTTTTTTTTTCACT